TTTAGTTATTCAAGTCTTTTAGTTTTCAAGCAATCACAACACCCCCCCCCCCTTTAGTTTAATTGTAGTTAGTTAGTTAGTTTATTTACACTAGTTCTATTAGATTGCATTGGTGATTGAATACAACCATTTTCCCGAGGATCGATACCCCTTTTTACCATTATATTACGTTTTATTTGCAAGCAAAGGGTGTAATTTGCTTGGTGGACTTGGCATCCCACCAAACATCCTAACGTCGCACAGCCCGACGCTTCCGCCGCCGATCGGGGGTGTGACAAATAGTTAAAGTGAGAGGGGGAGACATAAAGGGAGGGTACTGTGCATTAATGGGGTGGACCAACTTTATGCTGAGGGTCATAGGGTGAGTTGATGACAAGGTCAACATTAAGTGTTGTTAGTCTAGACATTCACGAGGGTCGAGTTGATGGCAAGATCAACTAAAGTGTTGTGATCCTAGAGACTTGTTGGGTTGGTACGGACTCGTTGCATGTATATTCTTGTATGTGGTATTTTGGGAAACTCACTAAGTTTTGGCTTATAGTTATGGATTAAATGTTTCAGGTGTTTCATATGATCGTGGGAAGGCGAAGGTGTGACTATACACACATCGGCAACTTCGTATTTTGTGATTTCACATTTATGATCAAACTATGATTTGGGATGTAAACTTTTGGAACAAATGGTTTTTATGATGCTACTTTATGAAAATGGATTCTTTTATCTTAATAAAAATCAAAAATTTTGTTGTGAAAATTGGGACGTTACAATCAAGATGATGGAATTACAATTGGTCACGTTTTTTTTACTTGGATCAATCACCAATTACTTGGTGCTCGCAAAAGCAAGAGACAGTTGCACTATCATCGTGTGAGGTAGAGTTCATGGTTGCAAGTGAAACAAGTTGTCAAGTAGTTTGGCTTCGTGATCTACTTGAAGAAATAACTGGAGCTTATGTACAAGAAGGGGTACTTAAGATTGACAATATGTCCGAGTTAGTCAAAATTCCAGTTTTTTATGGTCGAAGCAAACATATCAAGTCTCATTACCATTACATCAGGAAAGAGTCGAAGAGAAAGATATTGTAGTGGAACATATCAACAGGAAGGAACAACGAGTTGACATCATAACAAAAGCTCTTGCGTAGATAAAATTTGTTGAAATGCACAAGCTTTTAAATTTGGAAAATCTCACAAGTTCTATTCATAAATTAGGGACTAAATATTAAGTAATTTCCAAATATGCCCTTACATGATGAGGTGTAGGAGGGTCGATCCTTATACAAGAAGGAATCGTTAGAAGTTGCTTAGGGTTCAAGTCATTAGAGGTTGCATAGGGATCATGTAACATCCCAAAATCTGGGGCCAAATATTTCACTTTTGGTTAGGTGATTTATAAAATGGTTCATCAAAACGTTGCAAAAATCATGTCAATACATAAAACTATAATATCATGTCTCAAAACCAAATCATCTGGAATAACAAAATATCATAGTATAATCCCAGAAAACTCTAAGCGGAAATCATATGTGTGTGTGTGATGCGCTGCTACACCGCCGACTCCTTCCCCTTGGACGAAGAGGTACCTGAAACCAAAACTGAAACTGTAAGCACAAAGCTTAGTGAGTTCCCCCATCATACCACATACCATACGATCACATAGCATACATACTGCCGAGCAATTCTGGGGCGCCCGTCCTACCCATGTCAAGCCATTATGGGGTGCTGACCTACCCATGTCAAGCCATTCTGGGGTGCTGACCTACCCATGTCAAGCAATTCTGCGGTGCTGACCTACCCATGTCAAGCTATTCTGGGGTGCTGACCTACCCTCCGGTGTATCTCAACCGAACTCGGGGACTATTTCACCCCTACTACTAACACATAATATCATATCATAATCATGCTGTCAGACATATCTGGGGTGTCCGGCCTACCCATTGGTCCTAGCGACCGAATTGGGGACTAGTCCCCTTCTACTGATACTATCTCACATAACATAGTAACCGAAAAACTAGCATACTCACATATCTAACAAACTAGCATACTCACATATCCAACAATAACAGACCAGACAATCATCACAGAGATAATCGTCCCAACTATCAATCACTAGTGGGCCAGCCTTGGTGCCTTAGACCCACTTATACCGGAAGGTAACTCACCTCGATGTCGCGTAGTGTCTGAACTGTCCTCGGCGTGAAGGTCGGCTCTCCTCGACTCCTCAATCCCTACACGACAACCCTAAAGTCATCAAACAGAACATGCAACCCTAACCAGGGTCAATACGCAAAACCAGGCAAAGTCAACATTGGTCAAAGTCAACACCCAGTTGACCTGGCTCGCCGAGTTGTTCTACCAACTCGTCGAGTCCATGCCCCACTAACCTGATCCAACCCCGACTTCACTCGTCGAGTCTAGCAAGAACTCGACGGGTTCTCCTTTATTCAAACCATCGGGACCATCTTCATCCGACTCGCCGAGTTCTTCCTTGAACTCGGCGGGCTCATCTCCCTCATAAGAATGTGTCCGGTCTACTACTCGCCGAGTTGTATGAACAACTCGTCGAGTCCATCTACAAAGATTGTGAGATTGCCTTGGACTCGCCGAGCCTGTTCATACACTCGTCGAGTCCCATGATTCCCAGGTCCCTTTTCGCGTCTAAACATCTACGGGACTTTCCTCCCTAACAACTGGTCCATCCACAGAAAGGATTTGGTGGTCATTACACCGCTACTCGTCGAGTCTCAAGAACAACTCGGCGAGTCCATCCTTGACCAACACTATACAGTCGATTTAGATGAGCCTTAACACCTCAAAACCATAGATATGGCCCCTTTAATGTCCATTTCATACGTAAAGCTCCAAACTTGGTGCACATGCATGGGGGCTTTGGCTCAAAAAGCCATAAAA